TATATATATATATATATATATATATATATATATATATATATATATATCGAAAATATGTCAAATTTATATTTAATTAGCAATTTTTATATTACATATTGTGCAATAACATTTAAAATAATAATAATATAACGTTTAAAAGCATGAGCCTACAATTATTAAATAATTTGTATAAATTTAATTAATTGATTAATATAAAATGTATATGATTTTTTAAACAAATTATACAGTTACTAGATGTTAAATAATATTTAACATCTAATAACTGTTTTACATTATATCATGACTAATTATAAATAGTAATCTCTTGTTTTATATTTTTATCAAAATTATTTATCTTAAATATCTTTGATACAGAAACTTTTATCTAAAATGATTTTGACAGTTATCGAGGATACTCACTTTTCCTTTGAGAGTTTCATTGAGATATACTGTGCCGGTCTTGCTGTCAATGGAGAATGGTAACGGCGGTTGAGGACTACCATCTCCATTGTAATTATGACGGTGTTCTAGACCATAAGTCAAATTGTTCTGTTCATTGTCATTGGCGCGAACCCTGGTCACGACACTTCCTACGGGCTCGGTATCCGGAAGTACCCAGTTTCGATCCAGCCATATTACGGGCGGTGTGTTGTCGCTGAATTGATCTCCTACAAAAAAAAAATTAATGATGATTTATGAAATTCTTTCGGTATTTTAATATTTTGTTCAATACTAAGTTTTATTTTTGAAGTTAGACATTTTGAAAATTTAAGATTTTGTAAATATATAAGTTTGAGAATTTTGTAACTTGTGATTTTATATATTATATATCATATGTTATATTTTATATATCTTATTTTATATTTTATATATTATATGTTTATATTATAATTGCTGACATCTTCTTATCTTTAATCTTTTTCTTACTCTCCTGTCTTTTCTAGATTTTATATACACTTTTATATAATTTTATATAACCTTTGAATTTCTTATACTACGTCTTTCTTATATCAGATCTAAAAATAGCTTATATTTAAAGTTTTCATTTTAAATAATCACAGTTCTTTGCCTAATGTGTATTTGCGACAATTCAAATTCCGATTATTTACGACGTAAATGTTTAAAATTCAGCTCACCGACAATTAATGGCTTCTCGTCACGGAAGGTTGACAACGCGACTGAAATCCCGTTCAAATCGACTTCGATTCCTCGCAATCGCGAGCGCGTTTCGAGCTCAACCGGCAAGCTCGCTGTTTTACGCTCGAGCTCTAATTAGGGTTCGGGTTTACCGAACGATAATGAGAGAGAGCAGTGGGTGGAAATGCACGCGCATCGAGAGATCGGCCTTGATATGCATTCCTTCCTGGATTTCGAGTTCATATCGTCAAGTAGACTGTGACCCCTCGTGAGATTTTATTTCACGTATTTTCGGTTGTCCTTTATACGCAATCCTCGTTTTTTACGCATAATCTCTTTGGAATTCTGTAATCTTTCGTATTACCCGTGTTATACAACATATCTTTCTTGATTAATTACATTACACTTTTGAAATACAGCAGAAAAAAGTTACGAAAAAGAAATCATTTTTCGAAAAGAAAAGTTAAAGTAGAAAGAAAGGAAGAATGAAGATATAGAGAGCAATTATTAGCAGACGTTTCTTAAAAAATTTCTTTCAGATAATTTATTCTCTAATTTCTCATATTGTCCTCATCGCAAAATTACCGACTCCCGTGTTGCTCGTGCCATTTCTACGGCATCTCATGCAAGAAAAGCGAATAACTGGACCTCGCGGCGTTCTACACCTGACTGCACGTCTCCAACGAACAATCGTGCCGCAATTTCGCGGTAACTACACGCCAACGATCCTCGACCTTTCTTATTAGGAATGATCGGTCCGACGAGTTATGCTTGGAATAGAAAGTCACGGCGAGCAGCCGCACGAAGAAACGTTATGATACCGGCCGGCCGATCTGATACGGCGCGAAAGGCGTGTATATATATATATATATATATATATATATATATATATATATATATAAGTAAA